TTTTCACATTTTAAAAACTAGTCCACAAAATGTTTTCACGTGTGATGCGGACCCAGATAACATTGAACTATCAAACCCACGACGAATTGATTTAGAACCCAAGATAGCCAAAGTAAATCAAGTTTGGATTCATTCGAAAATTAACGAATCAAAATAACCAACGATTCAATAGCGAACATCGATCCTTTTGATGGAATTAATGAAGAATCAAACCCAGAAGATTGAACGCCACAAGAAATTACTCTGGATAAGTTCACAATTGTCCAACGAAGAACGAGAATTTAGAAGTAATAATTGTCTTTCAAATTAATCTCTCAATAATGTTGTGTGTCCTTGCAATAATGAAGAAGAAAACTATTTATACTAGCCCTAGAATACTTGGTAAAACGTCCAAAATATTCCCAAAATCATAGTTATGGTAAGAATATAATTCTATACAAACAAGGAAATTTGCCACAAATCGCTCCAGTTTTGCTCTATGCGGTCGCATAGGTATATTCTATGCGATCACATAGAGTCTTCAGTTTGCCCCCTTCAAGTTACGGTAAATCACCATGCGACCGCATGGTGATTATCACTATGCAGTCGCGTAGTGATAAATTCCAGCCTCATCTTCCGCAGCTTAAATCAAGTTGCTCCAATTCTTTTTGACCCCCAAGCTCTTCATGAAAGTTGTTCCTTTAGCCGTCAAGATCATCATTTCATCCACCGTAGCTTGAGCCAATAATCCCATCGCCTCTTTAACAAGCTTTGTTCTCGAACGTGTCATTGGTCCACCTTCAACCATCAACAGATCTTTCCCGAGACTGGACTTTGGCTCGGTCATGCTCACATTATCCCCTCCCTCTTCAAAAGAATTCGTCCAAGAATCTGTACCTGCATCAAACAGAGAGAGATCAGAAACATTAAATGTTGCCGAAACATTTCACTCACCTAGAAGATCCAGCTTGTAAGCATTGTCATGGATCTTTTCAAGAACTTGAAATGGTCCATCACCCCTCGGTAGCAATTTTGATTTCCTTTGCTCCGGGAAACGCTCCTTTCGCATGTGTACCCAAACCCAATCACCGGGTTCAAAAGAGACACGTTTTTCTGCCCTTATTTGCTTGCTCCACATAATGCTTGTTTTTGTTCTCAATTTGCAACCTTACCTTCTCATGGAGTGCCTTTACCAACTCGGCCTTCTTCTTCCCATCTAAACTACCTCGTTCATTCACAGGTAAAGGAATTAAATCCAATGGTGTGAGTGGATTAAAACCATAAACAACCTCAAATGGCGAATATGAAGTAGTAGAGTGTACAACCCTATTATATGCAAATTCAATAAAAGGTAAGCACTCTTCAAACAACCGTTCAAACCTATCCTTTACATCTTCAAACAACCGTTCAAACCTACGAATCATCTCATCCGACATGTTGGCCTTATTGTTGTGGTTCTGCCCTGTTGTTGCTGCTTCTTTATCAAACGTCCTTAAAAAATCTAATTTTCTGCCTCACAAAGATTTTCTCTCATATATCACTCAAATTTGGCTTTTTCCCTCTATTGATCTCTCCACTCTACCTTTTTCCACTCAAGCTTCCACCCAAGCACTTCAAAGGACAAAATAGAACTCAACCAGGAATTATTCTCCTAGAATTCAAACCGGGATTTGAGTGAGATTTTTTTTGGAATTTTTAAAGACTGAAGCAAGAACTGAATTGAATAATTTGGAATGTATATTTGTCTTCAAGAAGTGGTTCTTGAAGTGAATCAATAGAAATAATGGAATTGCCGAGAATTTCCAAGACCAATAATGATAATAATTTTTTTTAACTCTTCGGAGCTTCTCACTAATTGCTGAGTATTCTGAAATTTTTTTTTTACTCGAGAATTCAACTACAAATCCGGCAAAGAAAACAAACGTTGATTTGGACACAAAATGAGCCCAAAAACACCTTTTGAAATTTTGACGGAAGATAAACGGATCAAAGACTCAAGAATATGAAGAATGCGAAGAACAATGGAATTAATTGAAAACAAGACTCAAATGCAGAATTTAAAAGATAAAACCTTGATTTTGTTGGAGCCAAACTCTGATACCAAATGATACGGACCCGGATAGCGTTGAACTATCAAACCCACGACGAATTGATTTAGAACCCAAGATAGCCAAAGTAAATCAAGTTTGGATTGATTCGAAAATTACAAATCAAAATAACCAACGATTCAATAACGAACGTCGACCCTTTTAATGGAATTAATGAATAATCAAACCCAGAAAACTGAACGCCACAAGAAACTAGTCTTGATAAGTTCACAATTGTCCAACGAAGAACAAGAATTTAGAAGCAATAATTGCCTTTCAAATTAATCTCTCAATAATGTTGTGTGTCCTTGCAGTAATGAAGAAGAAAACTATTTATACTAGCCCTAGAATACTTGGTAAAACGTCCAAAATATTCCCAAAATCATAGAGTTATGCTAAGAATATAACTCTAAACAAATAACGAAATTCGCCACAAATCACTCCAGTTTTGCACTATGCGGTCGCATAGGTATACTTTATGCAATCGCATAGAGTCTTCAGTTTGCCCCTTCAAGTTACGGTAAATCGCCATGCGACCGCATGGTGATTATCATTATGCGGTCGCATAGTGATAAATTCCAACCTTTTCTTCCGCAGCTTGAATCAAGTTGCTACAATTCTTTTCGACCCCCGAGCAAGTTGTTCATTTAGACATCAAGATCATCATTTCATCCACCGTAACTTGCGCCAATAATCCCATTACCTCTTTAACAAGCTTTGTTCTTGAACATTTCATTGGTCCACCTTCGACCATCAACGGATCTTTCCCGAGACTCGACTTTGGTTCGGTCATGCTCACATCACAAAGGGTCATTGAATGTTTGGAACACTACGAGGGGGTCTCTGGCCAATTGGTGAATAGAGACCAGAGTGGCCTTATATTGCCTAGGAGGGTATCGAAAATTCAGATTCGGAGGCTAGTGATTTTGACTGGATTTTCCCACCAACGACAGCTGTTTACTTTCCTGGGAGTCCCTTTGTTTAAAGGGGCTAAGAGGAGCTTCCTGTTTGATGATCTTATTATGAAGGTCAGGAGTAGGATTTTCTGATGGACTTCACGCACTCTCTCCTGTGGAGGTAGGATCACTTTATTGAGGTATGTTCTCTCATCTTTACCACTATACCTGTTTCAGATTTTGCGTCCCTTGAAGGCCCTCATGAAAAATTTGGAAATCATATTTGCGCGATTCATTTGGGATTCCAAGGATCATGAGCGTCGTCGACATTGGTGTGAAGTTAGAAGGAGATTTGCCTTTCTACTTATGAAGGTGGTTTGGGCTTTCAATGATTACATGATACGGTGGATGCATTCTCACCGAAGCTATGGTGGTTGTTCAGATCTCAAAGTTATCTTTGGGCACAATTTTTATTGGGCAAGTATTGTCAAGGGACACATCCATCGCTT